GTATCACGTGAACTGTTATTCTCATTTCATGCAAAATCGATTGTTTTGCGGTCGTTGATGTGTTGTTTGGATTATGAATAGTTTTGTTTCGATTGTGCACCCCCGCATGTGCGCATTAATTCCATTCTCGTCTGGTTTTGGAGTGGCTGAATGAATGTGTGATTCGCGGCTGACTGATGATGCATTTTTGCTGTAAATGCGCGCTCGCGCTCACATCAACTCTGTTTTTTTTTTTAATATCACGTTTACATTACTCTTGACGCCCCAATGCATCGAAAGTTTACTCAACTCGCGCATTTGTGCGCGCTCGCTCGCTCGCGATTTACATTTTAGTGGATTTTGTTTATTTCTTCTACATTTTTATTTCTTTTTTTTTTGCTGTTGCTTCTATTTCAATTTGCCATTAATCCGATGCGCGCGCGCACCGGTGGTATCTGCACACCGAAATCGATCTCGCATGAATGAAGGCTCTATGTAAACGAGCACGAAAATTGTACGTTTCATTTTAAATTGCATTAAGCTGTGCAATAACAATAAACCCGAACAGTAGTCGATGTGAGATTTTTTTGCTGCTGCTGCTGCTATCTAATGTTGTGGATGCTATTTAAGATATTTTTTTGTTCATTTACTTGTTGCCTCATCATTGCAGCGGCTGTGGCTGCCGCTGCTGCCTCATCAAAATCCTCACTGGTGCACAAGAAATTACCAACGAATTATCGTGTAATTAAATTACAGTATCTGTTTAATTTATTTATTGCACGTACGATGCGCGAGCGAGGGAGCAAGAGAAAAATGTGAATAATCGCAGCGCGCGATGCAGCAATATGCTGTAATCATCACGAATCCACGAAATATTGTTCGGGTGCATTAGTGGCGATATCACAGGATCGTTTGTATGCTCTCATGTTTGCAGTTTAGATATCGGTCGATGCGATGCGATTCCGCTTCTCACCTGATCAATTGTGTGAATGTGTATTGTGTGCTCTGCATGTACTTAATTGCACCGTTGATTGATTAGCTTTTTGTTGTTGAAATTGCAGCTGAAACGGTTATTCTTCTTTGGCAATTTGCCAATGAGGATCGTGCTGGTGTGTTTTGTTGTTTCTTCAATCCCAATTGATTTAATTCCATGTTTACAGCGGAAAAAACACTTTCGTTCGTCGAAGTGGCGATGAGAGATGATAATCGAAGGAGGAAACGATTTGATTTCGATGCTACTTTACGCATCATGCATGAACATGCTATTTCATCGATCGATTATTTCTCGTTTCGCATCAACAAAACGGAAAAAAAAAAATAACCACCACAACAATCATTTCTGGTGAACGGTCGACACACGCTGACTTATTTATCTGACAGCAACAAAAGATGCTGAAGCAATTGTCGTGCAAAAAATAACACACTCTGATTTTATTCAATTTCAGATTACGATCACACTTGATCAAATGTCCTTTAAGATGAACATTTGAATTCGCCATTTGTGATGGAAAAAATTAAAGGATTTTGTTGTAAGTTACTGGAATTTCGATATGAATGAAATTGAGATGAATGTTAAATGAATTTTGAAGAAACAATTCGACTCGCGAAAGTCAGAAGAAAAAAAATATTTTTTCGAAAAAATTTCCATAAAAATGGAATTTCCAATAAATGATGCCTTTTGTTTTGATAAACGTGTTTGTTAAAAGTTGTTACCAACGGCCAATCATTGAAAAACAAGGCTTATCATGTCAGTAAAATCGAATTGATATGTATTTTACACCATTGAGTTTGAATTTTAACACTGTTTAAAGCTACATATTTGACTTGAATTATGCGTGTGATTCATTTCGTTTGCTTTGGCAAAACCAGCTTTTTTTCGTATACCTTGACCGTATTCATGCCGCCAAGTTTGCGGCGACACAGTGTCAATCAATAGAAGATTATAATAGACTATTATAAAAGTCGTATAATAGCAAAATACCCGTGTTAAGCCACCCATTTGGTGAACGCTCAACGCAAAGAGCATTGAATTGGATCTAATGACTCTGAAATGAGTGTATGTTTTATCGAACGTTTCGAATGGCGTAGTATCATTCTTCATTCGAAAATGGTAATAACAGCTCGAAGGTGCACTCACGCAAATCATAATTTTGAATCTCTTCTCGTCGTTAGTTATATATACACACACTTACGGATTAAATTTTTTTCTTGGCTGGCTGGCTACAGCAAACGAATGAAGAAAAAAAAAACTTGCAAATGAATTCACTGGTTCACACACGCGCTCGAAAATTATTCTAATGCACTTATAAATAATTTCAATAAAGTTAATCTCAATTCGAAATTCGAACAATAAAAATGGTGAATTATAAAATATGATGAATGAAAATGAGTGATTGAGTTGTGTAAATTGATGCACATGCGGGTTTTAGAAGCAGCAAACACAAAATCAAAAAAAAAATCAAAAGGATGATCACGTAATGGTTTTCGCGATTTTCCCACACACATACTTTGACACTAATTACACATTAAGAAGAAAAACAATCCATCGAGTTCATCGCTACTTCTTCTAATGGTGCATTATTTTTTTTTTCTTCGGTGAATTGAAAGTGATGCTCAAACCATTTAAGAAAATTCCATAAATCATCGAAAAAGGAGTGATATTCCAATGTTTTGGTTCTCTTCAGCCACAACGGCTGGAAAATTGAATGCCAGACATGAAACGCGTTCGTGCGTAAATTTCTCTTGAACGAATCGGCAAATATTCGGCCCGTGTGTTCATTCACTTCGTTCGATTCCATTACACTGTGTTCAGCGTCTAAAATCCAAAACTCGCAAAAGTTCGTTCATTTGCTGATGCAATGACATGCAGCTGAATGAGAAGTAGCAAGAAGTAGAGAAAAAAAACGCTACGCGAACAAGCTGCAAAAACATATTTACACGCATGTAAAATGCAGTTCACATGCGAACAAACGACTACGACCACGGCATATATTGACTCTCGATGCTGTAGATCGCGGTGCAGCCGAGGAGAAAAAAAGTAATATATGAAATGAAAAATACGCGTTCGCTCGTCTTAGAGTTTCTCGTGAGCATGTTGCAAGCCGAAACAATATAAAAGTCACATACTACGAAATCGATTAACACAGATCGAGCTAGAGCAGAGCAAAGTGCTTTTGAGAGTTTTGCCTTTGTTGTTGTTACAACTGCTGTGGCTGCTGTTATTTGATTATATTATAAATAGTGCAATGTGATGCGTTTTCCTTGTTGATATTTTATTCTTACTGAGGGTAAAGCACGATCCAACAGACAAAGATGACAAGATTGCAATCATCATGATGTTTCTTCATCTCCTGTGAGTGTGTGTATATCTGTCTCACTGTTTGTTGCATTTGTTTTTTCTTTCTTTCTTCTGTCTGCTGATTTGAAAACTTTTGCAAATGTTTACACTTTGTGAGTCCGATGTTCAAGTGAGCTGATTTCGTGGTTTTGCTCAACTGTCTCTTTTTTCTCATTTATTGTTGCATACTTGACATCACCAGAAGTTGTCGTGCTCATTGAGACGTATTATGGGCAAATGCCGTGGTTACACTCTCGCTCTTGCAGCCCATTGCATTCCATCTTCACCACAAACACTCGCACTCGCACTCACACAAATCATCTCACTCTACACATGACACCTATTACGCAACTACGTAAAGACGATGACGACGAAGAAAAAAAGCCACAAATGACGATGATTTAAATTGAATCGAAAATAATGAAGAGAACCAACGCCACCAATGGATAATGGTCACCTTGAATGCATCCGTTCGGGGGCTCAATTTCAGTAGCTCAAGCACGTTCGCTAATTACTTTCAAATACTTGGCCATAGCAATTTGTACATTTTCTATTCTGAACATAGTCATATCGATTGCGGCTCGCGCATATTTCATCAACTCGCCTGTCATATTTCACTCTCGAAAGCGTTTCGACCAATTTGCTTGTGCTGTACACACACAAACACACACATACACACGCGCGCGCTCAAATTACACACAGTCTTACAGTCTCCTGATCTCTCTGTCAATGGCTCTTGTTTCGCCCTCCTCGTTTCTACACTACATGTTGCTGATTTGTGACTTGCGACACATGTCAAAAACCGTTTTTGTCCACATTTTTTTATTGTTAATTAAAGTTTCCAGTCTTGGGATACGTTTTTTTTCTCTCTCTTGCCATTGCCTCCAATGTCCACACATCGGAATTTGATATTTTGTCTGTGCAGTTTTTGTTGTTGTTGTTGTTGATAAACGAGAACCGTCCAGCTGAAAATATTTCACAGAGTCACAGCCACCAAATTGGAGAACGCCGTTTCTCAAGTGAGAAGAATGAAGAGTGTTTTCGTTTATGGTTTACCAAGCATATTATCTCCTTTTTAGTAATCATATTAAATCGTTTAAAAAGCGCGTAATTAATTGAAAATGCCCAGAAAATTTTCCGTAAATTTCGATTTCATTCTGTGGGTCTGTTCGGACTGGTAGATGAGTGTATTTATAATGCAAACTTTTATTTGGTTGGCAAAAAAAAACGGTTATGAGCTAGAGCTCACCGAACTTCATTTGGCTCGCGGCGCAGTTTTTTTCTCTCCATTAATTGAGTGATATTCCGAGCGTAATTTTCATCTCACTTTAGTGTATTATTTCAATTTTTCTTCTTCTCTCGTTTCGCACAAATTTCAACGCGCCATCAATGGGCCATTGTTATATTTGTTTGAATCACTTTTTCGGTGTGTGTGTATGAGTGTATGTTTGAATGAAATTGAGCCACGGTCAATGCAATGAATCACAATTCATTGCCCCAGTGCTAAATTTGACACAACACTATTTTTAACTGCGATATTTATAGTCTTTTCTTCCTTTATTAATTACTATTATCACGACTCGTGAGCGATGCGTATATTTTATTTTCTTGGACGAATTGTTCGTTGTCGCTGGAACCAGATACAAATGAAGGAAGATAAAAAAATATAATATAAAGCATTTACCTGATTGAATACATAGCAATAATCCAAGTATGAAATATATTCCGAATGGTTGCCTCATTTTCACTTTTTTATGTCGTCGGTGCTACTGTCTTGTGTGTCGTCTATCTTCTTTGTGCCGTTTCTAGCGATGTTGTTGCTAAAAATTTTTCGTTAGTTCACAGTTTTTTTTTTATCAAACTTTATTACTGTTTCTTTCTTTTTCGCTTGAATTCTTATTGTTTTGTTTACATGAACTTCAGTTCTTTCGGTTTTTTTTTCCTTTGTCTCTTTCAAGTCTTGTTCGATTCACTAGATTGAATCGAATTTTCAAACGTTTCTCTTTCTCTGTTCAACACTTTATTTTTTTCTCTCCAATTTGCTGTGATATCAGATGATTTTTTTTCTTTGAAAATTTTGTATTGTGCACTTGATTTAAACGACAAGAAAACAAAACTGTCGATTTTTTTCTTATTTTTCATCTATGTTTAAGATCCGTTGACAATGTTTTTTTTCTCTCATTTGTTTTTCTCATTCCTATTTAGTAGCTGCATGTTTGTTGTTGATGTTGTTGTTGTTATGCGTATATTCATCTATTTCAATTTCTATCTATTTCATTGGAACAGATTTTGTGCCGGAGAAGAAAAAATAAATTAGCCACGAAATTGAAAAGAAGAGAAAAATTTCATGAAAATGACCATAATTTGCGTATGAATCCGCTGGATTTGCATATGTATTCGATTGAAAACGGTAGCAGAAGAGAAAAAAAAGCAGAATAAAAGAAGAAATTAATTCAGAGCCGCTTTGTATTGAGAGTGATATAGCGGAAATAGATTCGAAATCGGAAGAAGTGAAAATGTATGCTTGTGATGGCCTGATGCTGGTGTTGTTGTTTTTTGAAAAGCGCCAATAAACAGGGCCACCGATCAATCGGAATTTACATCTTCCTCAACATGCACACACACACACACACACACATCACATCGCCGAGCAAAGAAACATACACCACTCGGTGCACATTTTTCGTTATGCACTTACTAAAAATGTGCTGTGTACCACAGACAATTAGTTTCTTTCTTATTTTCTCGTGCTTGAAATCAGTATATAGCCACAGAGATCTCGTAAAACAACAGAGGCGAAAAATCGATTCATAGCATAAAAGAAAAAAATCTCTTGCAGAGACCATGCACATTGCACACTCTCTGCGATGCACTGTTGCTGTTTTCCTCGATTTCTTGATCATGCACACATGCACAATATCTATTTATTGATTTTGTGCTTGTAATTTGCTACTCCTAAATAATTCATGTGTTACGTTTCGTTTCTCTTTTGAGTCAGCATTCGATTTGTTGAGTCTAAAAGGCTGGTGGCTTCATTTTGAATGATCCAAAATCACTTACTGCAAACAAAAAATAAAACACACTCACACTTACATAAAAGCACACAATAGAAGATGCACTTAACCAAATGCTCGGTTAATTAAACGCATGCCATTGGCAAATTAAATCAAAAAAAAACCACACAGAAACTGAAACAAGAAGACGCGTGCGCGCGCCATCAAAAGAATTGCAACAAACTGCATCGTAGAAAGAAAGATAGAAAAAAAAACAGCACAAACACACTGCGTTTGAATCTCTTCTGAATGCTTGAATCAGTTTCACAGTCAAGTGAAGTAATTTGTCTATTCTTTTGTTTCCGCAGAGAATGCACCTCGACTGATGGATTGATGCTGATTTTGAAGAAGAAGAAGAATGAAGCGTGTGAGTGAATGAGTGTGTGGCGTTTTCTTTTGCGATATGTTTTCGCTGTCGACGAAGTTTTCCGTTTTCGATTTTCTATTTCCTCAATTCGCAGCAACACATGTGTGAAATCGACAACATATTCACGGGTTCTTCTTTTTTTTATCATATAATTTGTTTCTTCTTATTTTCATTTGTGAGATTCTCATATAGATAAATATTTTTTATGCATATTCAATCACTTTAACATTCAAAAACTCTTTCACGTTCTATCATCATATGTTTGAAGGGAAAAAAAAATGTGATTCGCTTTGTGATTCAAAATTCTATAGCCGTTTCAAGTTTCTCTAATTTAATTCCACACAAAAAATACGCTAAATCAAATTAATTGGATTTCTAAACCAAAAATGTTGAAACCACGCAAAATGAACAACAACAACGAAATAAAAAAAAATAAAAATTATCAAAACTTTTGAAACTAGTTTGTATAAAAAAGGTAAAGAAATTCACATTGCTTGTTGCTGTGTGTATATTCGTTTTATTTCTAGTTTCGTTTGTTTTGTGTCCAAGACGGTGCCACTGAATTCGGTGTGAGTGCTTTACAGTTGAGCACTTTTCTTCGACTGAATGCAAAGCACCTCGACTCAACATCGCAATCTCTTTGGCAGAATTGCTTTGGACAAAGTCAAACGCTTTACGTGCGCGCTCCATGTCTCTGCGTCAATGCGTTTCATGTTGGTTTAGTGCGCGTACACGTAACGTTACCTTGTAGCCGTTGTCGTGTTAACGGTACACACGCGCGTGTTCCATCAAGCGCAATCCAAGCGAAAGAGATAGCGAGAGTGAAAAAAGCCCGTTGATTTTATTTAAATGACAAAATGTAATGACAGAACGAGCAACGGAGCCGCTGGAGGAGAAGTTAAACCGTAAAAAAACAAAATTGGTTCAGATCGATCTTAAGCGACAATGTGTGATCGGTGGTTCGGTGGGGATGGTTGCAGCTTTACCGCACGTACAAACACGTGCCTGTTACTCCATATGCCTGTCGAAGTTCAGAGGACCGTAATGCAGAGCAAAGCATAATGTAAAGCAAAACACACACACGATCGATCTTTCTCGCCACTAGACGTGCTTTACTGGTACAATTCGATTGTCTGCATTCGATATACGTAGATTTTTCCAAATGTTCGGTGCACTTTTTTGCACTCTCGATTCGCTCGACTTTTGTTCGAGCCGTTTGTTATTTTGGAACCGTTTGTTTGTTGTTGGTGGACTTTAACGCTGTTGTTGCTGCTTGTTTTTCGGCAAGCTTCAAGCTTGCACTGGCATTTGCGCACCACCAAATCAAATACCAGCAACTCATTTGAAAGAGAAAAAAATGTGCAATTTGTACACACTCAACGGAATTACCTGTATGCGGCTGCTGATGCTGCTGTTATTGTTGTTGTTGTTGTTGCAGTGTCTTTCGTTTCTCTTTATCGATTGCATTTTACTGAACGTGTTTTTCATATGCAACAGCACTGTGTTCGGTCGAAAGATTACTCTAAAGGTTTGTGTGATTGAATCGAAAACTATTTTCAGGTTTTTGACTTTATTTCGACTCGATTTATTGTTATTAGATGATTTTGATGTTTACGATTGCAACTTTTTTTTTCATCGCTTTCGTCGTATGTGCGTTGCATGCAGTTTGTTGGACGACAGCAGCAGCAGCAACAACAACAAAAACAACAACGGTAGTAACATTCATCTCCGATGATCATACAAGACCTTCCCAAACGTGCATTAATGTTGTTGTTCGTCTCTCGTGTGCGAGTCAATTTCAAAATTGCAATTGCGTGATCTGAACCGGAGGCGAGTGAAAAAAGCACAACAATACCAAAACGAAAAAAAAACAAGAGTGCGGCTCATTGATTCAAGCACGTTAATGTATGCATCGGAGTTAATTGGTGCTTTGGTTGGAACTTCCACACGACAATGTCATTGATTCTCAGCACACACACAGCCGCATTCGGCGTGGCGAGATGCGAGTAGTGAGAAGTGGCCTTTTACCATGCATCGTCCATGCGCTCATGTGAATCTCACATATCATTTTTCCGAAAATCTATTGTTTCATCTTGAATGCACCACGTCACTTGTTTAACACGATGTTTTTATCACGGTTCCGCGGCCCCTACCTCCATGAAATTCTATCTACTCCTTTCCATTGAAGCAACAGCATCGGCTAACAAATTAGCATACAAATTTATGGCATTCTTTTTGGATTTCGAGCGTATCGCATTTGACACAAAACAAAGTTATTTCGCGAGATATGTTTACATTTCGAGAGATTTGTAGCTCGCGTATCTCTCCACATATGTTTGATTCCTCAAAAATATGCACCTTCATCGTGCGGCTAGAATTCCGAATAGACCATGAGCAAATACAAAGCAATTAAAATGGCGTTTTTGTTTTTGTTTTCTTCTGTTGTGTGTCTGTGACTGCGCGAACACAATTCGTTTTGTGGAAGAAAAAAATGAGGCAAAAAAAAACAACAATACACACAACAAACACACAATAAATCTTGACTCCTGACGCAAATAATGCCTGTCTCTCACTCATTGCTCGCGAGCGAAGACAAATGTTCGGAAATTTATGCGTCTCTCGAAGGTTATAACTACGGCATTTCTCATAAATGCATCTAAAATTGTTAATTTGCGTATGTGATTTGGCCATGCTAATTATAGTGTGGAAAATAAAATACAATTAAAAAAAATGTGTGTTCGGTATTGTTTTGCACCGCGGAGAGAGAGAAAAAAAAGAACGGGCTTCTTGAAAGGTTCCGTCAAAAGGGAAAAAAAACACGACCATATCAACCAACCGAACACAATTGGCTACTTGTTGTAGCAGATCAATCAACTTTGCACGACTGCCAGAGAATAAAAATCGCTTTTTATGTAAGAATGAAACCAATAAAACGCTCATTTTATGATGGCTATAAATCAGAATCTAGTCAAATATTGATACCAGTTCACACGGAAACGAGACGAACAAAATGAAGTGAATTGACAATCGAAATGGTCTGGCCACTTTCAATTTGAAATGCCGTAATTTTATCGCTTAATTTCATATTTCGTGTCCGAGTTCGACGACAGAGAAGGATAGAGACTTGGCACATGTCGCATGATCAATGGGCAATTGTCACCGGGGCATTGGAGCGACAATTGCGGTGCATTGATTTCATTTAGCAACAGTAACATGTCATGCACATTCTGAGCTTTGTTTCCTCGTTTTTTTTTTTGGTTTCGTGTTTTTCTGTCGACAAGAAATTGCATGCAGATTGACAATAAAGGTGAATAAGTGGCAGGCAGGCAGTGAACGAAACGAATAATTGACGTATTAATCTTTGCATTGAACAATGGAATTTATTCGCTTTTATTGCGAATCACGCAAAGGAACGGATCGAACGCGCGATCGGGCTGGATTGGCGCAAATCAAAATTCGTTTTGACAAAAAGAAAACCAAAAAATCTGCAGCATGCGCGCTTTGCTTGCCACTCGCAACCATACACATTCGATTTGTTCAAATTAAATATAAAACCGCTTACTGTTTTCAGTTGAAATAATGGAGTAAAAAGAGAATAAATTGCAGAGCGATTAAAGGTTAAAGTAATGTCGGAAAATTGTTTAATTCACACACTGTACGTGCGCACGGGACGAATGCCAAGAGACACGATGCGCGCACCCAAAGACTTTGGTCTCCAAAATAGTATGAGACACACCGAATGACGTAAATCTAGTTCGCTGAATTGTGTGTGTGTGTGTGTGTGTGTGTGTGTGTGTGTGTGTGTGTGTGTGTGTGTGTGTGTGTGTGTGTGTGGAGCAAAACGTCGTGGGTTCAAATTTGGTTTATTTATCTGATCTGACGAGAAACAAAACACACACAGAGAGAATCAAAAACCGCTTAAAATCGTTAGTGGCAAGCGAAAAAGAGAGTATTTCGGTGTCGAGTCGGCCATCGGCATACGCGCATGATTTCCATGCGAATCGACCATAGTTAGTCATTTTGACTTATTGCGCAAATAGTTCAACGAGATTATTCGAGGTGACAATTAAAAGGCGTGATATTTTTCGTCTATTATTCTTCATATTCGCCTCTATATATTGCAATTTGAGCACATTCCATCGGTCGCATTAAATCGGTAGCACGTAAATGAAGTGAGCAAAGAAAAAAAAGCGCTCATAAATTTCGAATCAACCAGCCGAATGCCAAAGAGTTACAATGAAACAACACAACAGCTACAACTTAATCTAACTAAACGGCGATTAAATAACTTTCCAAATTTCAACAACAGCTAAATATTATTATTATTTTTTTTTCTTGTCGAACAAAATTATGTTCAATGTGTTTTGTTTTTCTTGCTGCTTTGGCTTCACCGCTGTCTTTAGCCAGTCAAACAAGTTGCATTATTTGTTTTATCGTCTCAGTTTATTTTCGGCGCTTCAATTTTCTTCTTCTTCGTCGTGTTTTTCATTCACGATACATAAATGATTTCTAACCCGGCAATTACCAGCGATTACGTTGGCAAAAAAAGTATTTTTTTTATCTGACTTTTGATTTCATTTGTATTATATGAATCCTGGGCGTTAAAATACATGAAATGTACTTTTCGTCAATGTTGTTTTTTTTAAATCTATTTCTTGTTTCGATTAAGTAAGAATACAATGACTGTATTCATCAAAGAAATCAGTTGCAGATATGCGAAATTTTGTGTCGATAGATTTCCAAACGTCACACCCATTTACAAAATTAAATCCATGGTGCATGGGCCTTCGTTCTCTTAGATTGAGCGAGCGCAAAAAATGCGAGTGAATCAAGAAAATCGAGAAAAATTGACGAAATAAATAATGATCGAATATTTATCGAATGACCTTGATTGAAGGCGGCGGCACCGATGGCTCGCGCGCGCACATAGCCGTATATGCACACAGAGGCTATAATGAATGAATAATAAAAGAAAGAGAAGGCAAAAACACGGCACAGACAAAACAACAATGAGCCATAAAACGAATCAATCCATATCGAATCTGGCCGATCGAACCAACGATTTAAATAAATATCTGATAATCGTTGTTTCCTCAAGCGGTTGGGCTGTTAAAACAAACGCGTCTATTGCACATCGGGAAAGAAAAAATAATGGCGTTTAATCGTTTAAAATACGAGCAATGCTATTCAATTTGGCACTAGACTTAAGCGATAGCGGCAAAGGCAGCAGCGACTGCTCATAATTTCGATATTTCGAAAATTCTCATTTAGCACAGTACAACGCAACAATTTTCAAGATCTACCCAGATCATTCGGGCAACTTGGATTCCATTCAATTGCAAATACCGTACTAAATCCACACAATGGACCTTAAATTTATTATCATTTATGTTAATTTATTTTTGTACCATTTTATTGCGCTCGCGCGTTCGCGCTATTTCTTCACTTCAACGAGTGAATTTTTCATCTTGTTGTTTGTTGGTGTTTTTTTTTTCGGGAGAAATAATTTGTGCGAAATGACACTCAAAATGGTGTGTTTGTGTGCCTATGTACGCCGTTGCGTACACTTTGACGAGAGAAAAAAGACCGCCGCAATACAAATTAGTTGATAATTAACGATGTGAGCATCGTAG